TGTAGGGTATGTAAGCGATCAAATAGTTTGTGTTTGAATTTTATGAAGTTAATCAAGGCGGATAACATTAAGGCTAATAATACAAAAGAATTCATAAATAAAAATCAAGGAATTATCTCCATTTAAAATTGCGGAAAAGGTTGTTGTGGAAAGTTTCATTAGCGAGCTCACCACTATAAAAGTTCATCTAATTCCGCTCCATCCATGATCTCGTGACCCACATGTTCAACATATAAGCTAAACTTGCAAACATGAGAATGAATGTGATAGACTCATGTATGGTTTTATTCATTATGAACTCCCTACCTGTCGGGTTTGGCCAATCCTAGGTGAACTATAACACCATTAAATATAAATAGGACTGTAAGGAAGTTAAGGCTATGCTGGTGCAGGAAGAGGTGAGAATAAATTAGATGAAAGCATAGTCGATTCATTTTGTATTTCATGTGGGAGCTCATAATAGTAAGATAAATGGAAAACAAAGGTAAATAAAAGGAGATTGGCTTACTTAAAGTTTTTGTAGGTCCAATCATTAAATAAATAAGGTGTTAGTTTTGTAAAAAGCTATAAGGTGTTAGTTTTGTAAAAAGCAATGCCACCTTAGGAAAGACTACCCGAAATAAAATCTTGATTCGAAAAGAAAGACATACATTAAATTTTCGTATGTTGTGAATCAAATTTATTAAGTATTCCCAATAATACTTGGTGGCTTGGTTCTGTGCAACTACTTATGTATCTCATATTATTTTGGGTTAAACGTAGTTCACATAATGAATAGTGTACTCTCTTATGGCATTAAAGATTATGGTCACATATCCAAAGAAAAGTTTTGAGAACGGTGAATAATGAAACCATTTCTCATTTGGATTTTAGTGATCAAGATGTATGTATAAAAAAAATTAAGGAAAAGCAAAATAGACATACATTAAAGAGATCTGTCGAGAGAAGCAGTAAAATCTTATAACTTATTTACACTAATTTTTTGTGGTCTATTCGACGTTCCCTTTTGGGGCGGTATAAAGTATTTCATCACCCTTATAAAGAATTTCCCATGTTATAGTTATATTTATCTACTACATGAAAAGACTTAATCATTGGAATATCCAAAGATACACAATGATGAGATGGATAGGTGGTTAGATAAATAAGTAAAAGTTGTGAAATCTTACTAGATTGGTGAATATTATTGTAAGTTCAATTTAAGAGGATAATGTCCTAGTCCATTTGCAATGTATGTTGAGATTTAAAATATTTGTGTGAAATACACTATAATTGAGACTCTTCAACATAATGGTGTTGCTGATTGAATAAATCTACTTAAAAGGTTATGGTTAGGAGTATGTTGAGTAATTCAACATTAACGTTTTCTATGTGGATGCATGCATAAAGATTGTTGCATATTTGGGTAAACTGGGTTCCTAGTAAAGTAGTTCTTATTATGAACTATGGAAGGATAGGAAACCTAGTTTAAGGCATCTTCATGTTGGGGGTGTCAAGCAGAAGTAAAAGTATATAATCCACATGAAAAGAAACTTGATCCTAGGACAGTCAGTGGTTTATCATTGGCTATCCGAAAAAGTTCTAAAGGATATAAGTTTCACAGGCCTAATCATAGTATGAGAATAGTTGATTCCAGCAATGCTCGATTCATTAAAAATGATCAAATCAGTAGGAGTTTGGAACCACAAAGTTTGGATGTCAAAGAAACTCGGGTTGAACAGTCCAAACCCGAGAGTCCATCAATGGTTGTTATTCTTTTAGTTACAGTACCGTCATGTAACTTGGATGAATAACAAAATGATCCAAACTCACTTGATAATGAATCGGTTACAAACAATCAAGAAATTATAGAACAACCTTTGGTTGATGAATGACAAGTCATGAAAAGTGAAAATTCTGGAAAAGTTGAACAATGCCATGAAAGAAGAATTAAAGTTAATTGATGAAAATAAAGTCTTGAATTCAATAGATTTACCTGAAGGGTCTAAAAGAGTTGGGTGTAAATGGGTTTTTCGAAACCAAACACGACTCTAAAGGTAATATCGAAAGATATACAGTTAGACTTGCTTCTAAAGGTTACACCCAAAAGAAAGGCATTGACTACAAGGAAACACTCTCTCTCGTTTCGAGAAAGATTACTTGAGAATTGTAATGATAATGGTGGCTCTGTATGATTTTGAGCTTTATCAAATGGACCTAAAGATCACATTCTAAATGATAAACATAAAGGAGATCTACATAAACTAATTAAAAGTTTTTATGGATCACAAGAAATGGAACGTGAGTGTGTAAGTTGAATAGATCGATATATGAACTAAAACAAGCCTCTCGTCAATGGTATCTTAAGTTTAATGATATCATCACTGCTTATGGTTTTGTAGAGAATACCGTAGATCGGTATATCTACATTAAAGTCAGTGGGAGTAGATTTATTATTTTAGTTCCGTATGTCAATGACATATTTATAGTTGCTAATAATGTGGACACATCGCACGAAGTAAAGTATTATCTCTCTGAAAATTATAAAATAAAGGATATGAATGAAACGTCCTTGGTAAATGGAATAATAATATTCCGGAATAGATAACAAGGACTAAAATATTATCCTATAAACTTTATAATTTGAGAGTTTTGGAGATAATTAGAATGAATGGTTGTTCCGTATAATTCCAATTCATTAAAAAGGGACACATTTAATCTATAATAAGTGTCCAAAAGGAGGAAAATTATAGAAAAGTGGGACAAAGTCCGTCACCGCGACTTCCATGATTAAGTTTGAGTTTGTGGTATGCTTTGAGGCTACAAGTCAAATTTAGGGCTACGATGCTTTATGTTAGGACTTGGAAATGTCGACATCTTGTCCAAGCCGCTAAGAAATTATCGCAGTATCGTAGCAATAATATTTCAAGGAATGACAAGTATTCAAAGGGTTTAAATCACATAAAATTGAAATACTTGGTCGTAAAAGTAGAAGTGAAGAACTAAAGTGTCATTTGAGCATTCTAGTACTACTTGCATGAAAGCATATCCATTAAAAGGTTATTCCCTATAGCCATTGCAAGACATATAAAGAAAATTGGGAATAACGAATGGGGCCTTGTTGGACTGACCGATACTGAATGAAATTGCTCAATTATTGATTTTGGCACTTATTGAATTCAATTAAAGATATTTGATTCTTCACACTTAATACCATCATTATGGATATTTGATTTTATAGTATATATATAAAAGTTGGATGGCTTATGGTACGAATAGTTTGTTCCATATTAAAGTAAAGTTGAAATAGAAATGATTTGTGGTACATGGAAGGGATCATGTCGCTCGAAGACTTGTGACCGCCATGACTCGGTTAATTTCTATTTTAACTTTAAACTTATAGATATATGTATTCAATCATAAGTTTGATAAAAGGTGCGCGCTTAAAGTAGTTCTTTTGGTTTCGACACTATATGGTCCAAGTGGGAGAATGTAATGATTTGTGGTACATGGAATGGATCATGTCGCTCGAAGACTTGTGACCGCCATGACTCGGTTAATTTCTATTTTAGTTTTAAACTTATAGATATATGTATTCAATCATAAGTTTGATGAAAGGTGCGCGCTTAAAGTAGTTCTTTTGGTTTCGACACTATATGGTCCAAGTGGGAGAATGTAATAATATTTATATTATTCTATTATTAGTTGGACCTAATTGAATTAATAGTCAAACTTAATTAAGGAGAATATGTATTTAATAGATTATTGATGTTCTAATATTAAAGAGTCCAATTTGTGATGTTTGACTTAGACAGTAAGTTAGGTTAGAACATGGGGAATGTTAGTAGGATTAGAATTGTAAGTCTCCTCCTATATATACTATATACTACATGCCTCTCTCTCCTATCTCATACGAAATAAAGTTCTCAACAACAAGGGCTTTGTGAAAAGACAAGAGACGTGGGAGAGAGAACAAAAACACACGATTGGCAATTGACAGACTGCAAGATCAGAAATACAAGAAAACAGGGAATGACTAATGGATTCTTGTAAGTTTCTATGTGCAATTTAATTAATGCAATGATCCATATTTTATGAATTGATAGAATTACATGCTTGGGGTTTATTCAATTCCGCCTAATAGTTATGATTATACCTGTTAAATTTCTTACATGATGATGATAACAATAGCTTACTGATATCTAATACAACAGAGGATGTCGCCCTACAGTAGTTCTTGCTTCATTTCTTTCTCTACTCGGCATATCAAATTCTTTTGTGTTGAAGGAATACTGGTATATATTCGAAAGAGCTATTACGACCAGAGTTCGATTCTCAAGATTTTTTATTTTTTTTTTCACAATTATTGTTGGCTAAATTGTAAAATATAGCCAGTATCTTGTACGCGGTGGCAATAATAGCCACCATCTTTACGAATTGGCAATATTAGCCAACAACTTTCAAAATTTCGAGATTGTTACCCAAATCCAACAAAATTCAACAGATAAACTGCAAAATATAGCCATTATTTTCTTACGCAGTGACAACAATAGCCATCGAATATGGTCGAACATGGGTAATAACCCCAAAATTTTAAAAGTTGTTGACTAATATTGCCAATTCGTAAAGATGGTGGTTAATATTGTCACCGCGTACAAGATACTGACTATATTTTGCAATTAAACCATTATTGTTTTGTTCTAATGAAAACATCATACATTTATTCTTTCCTAGCTTAAAGTCCCTCACATATGCTATGTTGAAATTGATAAAATATAATTAATAAAGACACGTCATATGACACATCATATTGTGGCATGACCTATGGTGCCCGGGACGCCATAGGATTTATTATTTATAGATAAAAGTTTCTCTTTATTTCATTTAGGCAGATCGATAAAAGTTAGTGCACAGAACATAATTTCTGCCTCGTATACTTGTACAAAACCAAAATTACTAGCACGTACTTGAATACTAATTAAGTATCTGGGAGCATTTAATTTACCTATTGTTTAATTAAGTCATTTTCCTTCACAAAAATCCCATGAAAACCATAAGGCACCCTGCCTGGCAACATAACTTCAGCAACAATGTCAAGATTTGGGGTTTTGGCATCCATGACAACGAACCTCGATTTTTCGGTTTTCTCATTTTAGACATACATAACTAAATAACCATCGTCCTCGTCAGCCTCCAGATTATTGGGCTCCCTTGGCACGAAAAAAGGTTCGCCACCATAGCAGTCCGGCCCATATACCCGTCTAGCAACTAAGTGATCCATCTTTTTGGATGAAAATGAAAGATCTAGCTTCACTACCCCAGCTCCCTTTAGCGTGGGAACTACAACTGCTGCATATACATACCTGTTTATAATAGTATAAATACGTACATAGATTAATTTGTAGAAAAAATTCATTTGTTGAGTTTATATACAATAGACGCAAGTGTGATCAGTTATAATTCAGCAAATATGTGAAACTTAGATTAGTAATTAAACAGTCAAGCGGAAAGAGCCCAATTATTCGGACCTATTAGATAATTTGTGCTCTGAGCAGTCACTGGTAAGTTCAATCAGGACAAAATAAATACCAAATCGTAAAATATTTCAATCAAAATTTGAAATGATATTTCAATGGTATAGCTTTTGCTGAAAAAAAATATTACGAAAAATTTCAACAAAAATATATATATACTACTGGAATGAGTTTTAATTATAATTTTAGTTGGAATTTGATGATTTCAATGTCTATTTTTTCAACGGTTTATTTCTGTAAGAATTTCCATTGAAATTTTGTCATATTTCAACAGTTAGAAAATTTGTCATTCAATTATCAAAATCTAAACGAATATTCAAATAGAAAACTCATATCAGCAAAATGTTTCTGTTAAAATTTTTGTTGGTGAATCTATTGAAATATCCTAACTTTCAATATCTATTAAAATTGCTGTTGGAATTCATTTGGTATATAGATTTTCAATGAGGTTTCATTATTCACTACTAGAAATTGGTGCATTACTAACCAAATTTTGCAACTTAATTTTAATTGGTAAAAGTGTAACAATGATTTACATTCATAATATATACTTATGGAATTAATGGAATGTACTTTAAAAAACAGTATTTGTATTAGTAATTCATCCTTGTGACTAACTCCCTATATTACGAACAAACAAAAATATTTGAGATGTTTCAATTTAAGGACCTAACATATTCTAATTTTTGTAACTTTAATATAAAACATAAATATTTTATTTTTCGTCTTTACAAGTCTCAAAAACTAGAGCAAGGTTCGTCCGAGCTAGTTTATGAAAAATGCCAAAAGTGGACTAAATGAGCTAAACTGCAAAAAATATTTATAAGTAAAGATAACATAATTGCAAAAAAAAAATGACAAATGGAAATTAATTTACAACATAAATATTTTGGTTGAAAAATATTAAAGAAATATCTAGATAAATTAAAATAAAAGTTTTGTATATAAAATTATAAAATGCTATAATTAAAGCACAAGATATACAAGTATGGATTTTAATAAAGAATATACAAAGATAATTTGGGACAATTTTACGAAGTACATAATTTTTATCTGGTAGATTTTAATAAGAAATTAGTATTATTATTAAAACTAGAAAATATATAATAACATATTTTAGGAGGGCCCAATGGCCCCGCTGAGCCTCGTAGAGGTCCATCGTCCTTGTCTGCCATGCCTGATCGGTACCATTAAATTAACCCGCACTCACCAACTATTTTGGTACAGTGTCTAGTGATATTTTCATATTTTGGACCTTTAGTCCAATCGTGACCAGAAATTTGAAATTGTACTATCCCAGACTATTGGCACGTGGGAAATAACTTGACCTTTTTTGGTACGAATAACTTGACCCTTTTGAACGCAAAGAAACAATAATTGAAATTGACACGCAAAAGTTGGTGTTTGAGATTTACACCTGCTTTTCTTCCCTGCATATTGAGGATTAATCACAGCAAAATCCAGGCTTTCCCTGGAAACCGGACACCTGGCCACCACTCTCTTCCCCTTGACATCAATCCTTATCATCTCCAAAGACATCCGGACCAAATCCATCCGACCCAACATGTGCTCGACCCGCATTATATTGGACGCCACCATTACCACCGTGTCCCCACCGTCCTCCTCCCAAGCATTCACCACGTGCAAAACGTTCAAACCCGGAGCATCCACCCAACACACACCCGACCTCTGATGCATACTTAGCCAATATTCCAACCCTCGGTGCCTTACCAGCGTCGATCTTCATGGGCAACCCGCCCCACAACATCTCCATTGGCTCGATCACGATCTGCGAGTCACAAAACAACGCGTGGCTCTCCGTGACCGCAAATCGTGCGCGAACGATGCGCGTTCTATCGAATAAATCGGGACTTCCGTTATTATCTCCCGTCCGTCCGAACCTATTCTGAAATAGGTAAGGAACGGGCGCCGTACGGTGTAGCTGAACGCAAAAACCTCTCCTGTCCGGAGGTTGGTTTTCGGGTGGGCCGTCATGTTCGTAAAATTACAATCACGGCTTTCGAAAGTGTGCCGGCCGAGAGTGACGACGTCGCCATCTGGCGTGAGTTTGATAGCGTAAGGAAGGTCGGACTTGCATAGGGCGAATACTTTGCCACCGTGAAATTGGGCCACACTCGTGTTGGCCGGCCCAAATCCGTGCTTCATCGGGCTGAAGTGGCCCGAAAGCACGCGGGCCCCGCCTAGTATGGCGCGGGCTACCGAGGAGTGTTGGGTTAAAGGTATTGTAGCAATTACGCACAAATGTTGGGGAGGAGGAGCTTCGGGCTATTGTTGTTTGAGGTCTGTTTGCGGTGTTAGATTGGGGAGTGTTTGGTTGAGGGAATTTTGGGAAGAATGGGCAATGAAGAATTTCCATTGTTACGACTGTTTTGCTAAGTTAGTTGAGCAAATTGCGGTCTTGAAAGATGGAATATATCTTGTTGTGGTGAGGGATACGTGCAAGAGTGCAAGTTTGATGAAAAGGACGGTTTCAACTTTAGGAAAGATGGATTCTTTGCTTCACGCTATATTTAATGGTGTCTTGAATATTTCGTTTCAGATTTGGTTCTCTGTTGATAGTTTTAAGATGTTTTCAGTTTTTTACAGCTTACAATCATTGGTTACCAAGTTAAGTCAGTACGGAAAATTTACTACACTAGAGATGATAAATAGAGGAACTTGATAAAGTCCGAACCAATTTTTCGATCGGTTTTGTGGTGCCGACATTTTTGGTCTATAGATCTAAGTCACTGTTGTCGTATAGTTTTACATAGTTCCTGCAATCGTAATATTGTATGTTAAAAAGTTAGAATAGTTTTTAAGATGTCTTGAATATTTTCCAGTCAAAAAAAAAAGTTGAATATTTTTAGGCTATCGAAGAATATAACATTTTATAATAGAAACATTTATCGTATACATATAACTAATAGAAACATTTATCCAAGTGGGTTCTATAGCATTACTAAAGGTATTGTAGCAATTACGCACGCGCCTAGTATACTTAAGTGACGTTCAATTTGTGCATGCTCGTGTTCGTACAGACAAGGAAGAATGTGCAGCTACTTTTGTCTACGCCTCACCAAATCCAGGCCGACGTCACTTGTTATGGAATTCGCTAGATGAGCTGGCGCGACAAACCCGAGGCCCGTGGGTTATCGGAGGTGACTTTAACTGCCTTCTCCGGCCTTCCGAGAAGATGGGAGGTTTATCCTCGAGTTATAACATCAGCTCTGACTTCCAGAACTGGATTTTTACTCATAGCCTATTCGAACTAAATGCTGGGGATAACTGCTTTACTTGGTGCCGAGGATCAATTGCCGAAAAGCTTGACCGTTTCATTGTTAACCTAGAGTGGCTGGACCGGTATTCGGAGGGTCGGGCCCTTTACCTACCACGCATCCAGTCGGACCACTCTCCTATCTTGCTACAGTCCAAGTATCACACTTCTAATGGAGGCGGGGTAAAACCATGTCGCTTCTTAGCCGCGTGGCTGTTACACGAAGACTTCCCGCGTGTTGTGGGGTCGGTGTGGAAGGAGGGTACTGATTATTTGGCCGCGGCGACCAGATTTGGTGAGGAGGTACGGGAATGGAATTCTTCTACATTTGGGAACATTTTCCAGCGTAAGAAACGCCTTATGGCACGCATCGGGGGGATTCAAAAATCCTATCGCTTCTACTTTAAGACGAGCCTAGTCACACTGGAGAGGAAACTACGGCGAGAATTAGATGAGGTTCTCCTGCACGAAGAGCTACTCTTGCTACAAAAATCCCAACGCGACTGGACATTATTTGGTGACAAAAATACGGCGTTCTACCACCGCCAGATTAAAGTCCGTCGGGCTCGCAATACAATCACTTCCCTGCTGGATGACAGTGGAGCTCAAATTCATGAGCGGCACCTTTTACGGAGGATGGGTATGGAGTATTTTAAAAAGCTTTACACGGCAGAACCAGCATCGGCACCCGATGTCGCGAGTGCTAACTTCTTTCCACCTTTGGCGGCTGCACGTTTGTCGGTCTTGGGGCGGGATTTAGGTGACATCGAGATTTTCGACGCATTAAAAGGAATGGGTCCGCTAAAGGCACCGGGGATTGATGGGCTACCCGCCATCTTCTTCCAACAACATTGGGGAACGGTAGGACCATCGGTGGGAGGCTTACTTCGTCGGATGTGGGACGGGGGTGAGGTCCCCTCTTCGCTTAATCAAACTCTCATGGTGCTTATCCCGAAAGTCACGACACCGACAACGATCAAGCCATTTAGGTCGATTAGCCTCCTCAATGTGGTTTACAAGCTTTTCACTAAGGTGATTGTTAACCGTGTGAAGACCCTGCTTCCGGATCTCTTCCACCCGGCCCAGGCCTCTTTCGTCTCGGGTCGTCACATAACTGACAACATTATCGTGGCCCAAGAACTCATCCATACTATGAACACATACCGGGGGGGTACAGGGCACATGGTGGTCAAAGTTGATTTAGAAAAGGCATACGATTTCTTGAGATGGGATTTCATACACGAAACACTCGTTCTGGCTGGTTTCCCGCAAAAGATGGTGCGAGCTATCATGGCTTGTGTCTCTTCAGCCTCTATACGTCTTCTCTGGAATGGCGAGGTTTGTGATGAATTCCTTCCGACCAGGGGAGTACGCCAAGGTGACCCTATGTCTCCTTTCTTGTTTGTCCTATGCATGGAAAGGCTGGCACAACAACTCGGCCAATCGGTCCAGGAGGGTAGATGGAAACCTATCGGTTTCGGGCGAGGGGCGGTCAGCGTTCCGTTCCTTATGTTCGCTGATGACCTCTTACTATTTCTGGAAGCCGACCCTGGCCAGGCGAGTACCCTTACTGAAGTATTAGGGAAATTTTGTGCGGCTTCTGGACTGAAAATTAGCACATAGGTGTTCTTCTCTAAGGTCGTTGATGAGGCCGTCCAACACGACTTGGCCTAAATGTGCGGCTTCTCCAGAGTCACTGACCTGGGCCGCTACTTGGGCATGCCGCTCATCAATGGTCGTGTCAACAAAACCACTTTCTCGGGGATCCTGGAAAAGGCGGAGGGGCGTTTGGCTGGTTGGCAGGCCGCATCCTTATCGGCGGCCGGGCGTGTAACTCTAACTCGATCGGTGTTGAGCTCCCTGTCGTACTACTCTATGCAAACGGTTAGCCTACCGGTTGCGGTATGTGAAGGGGTCGACAAGCTTTGTAGATCATTTGTGTGGGGTGGGGCGGCGACCCGCCGTAGTCTGTCCCTGGTTCCGTGGAAGGACGTGTGCAAACCCCGCGAGTGTGGTGGGCTAGGACTGAAGGACAAACAAGAAAGGAGACATAGGGTCACCTTGGCGTACTCCCCTGGTCGGAAGGAATTCATCACAAACCTCGCCATTCCAGAGAAGACGTATAGAGGCTGAAGAGACACAAGCCATGATAGCTCGCACCATCTTTTGCGGGAAACCAGCCAGAACGAGTGTTTCGTGTATGAAATCCCATCTCAAGAAATCGTATGCCTTTTCTAAATCAACTTTGACCACCATGTGCCCTGTACCCCCCCGGTATGTGTTCATAGTATGGATGAGTTCTTGGGCCACGATAATGTTGTCAGTTATGTGACGACCCGAGACGAAAGAGGCCTGGGCCGGGTGGACGAGATCCGGAAGCAGGGTCTTCACACGGTTAACAATCACCTTAGTGAAAAGCTTGTAAACCACATTGAGGAGGTTAATCGGCCTAAATTGCTTGATCGTTGTCGGTGTCGTGACTTTCGGGATAAGCACCATGAGAGTTTGATTAAGCGAAGAGGGGACCTCACCCCCGTCCCACATCCGACGAAGTAAGCCTCCCACCGATGGTCCTACCGTTCCCCAATGTTGTTGGAAGAAGATGGCGGGTAGCCCATCAATCCCCGGTGCCTTTACCGGACCCATTCATTTTAATGCGTCGAAAATCTCGATGTCACCTAAATCCCGCCCCAAGACCGACAAACGTGCAGCCGCCAAAGGTGGAAAGAAGTTAGCACTCGCGACATCGGGTGTCGATGCTGGTTCTGCCGTGTAAAGCTTTTTAAAATACTCCATACCCATCCTCCGTAAAAGGTGCTGCTCATGAATTTGAGCTCCACTGTCATCCAGCAGGGAAGTGATTGTATTGCGAGCCCGACGGACTTTAATCTGGCGGTGGTAGAACGCCGTATTTTTGTCACCAAATAATGTCCAGTCGCGTTGGGATTTTTGTAGCAAGAGTAGCTCTTCGTGCAGGAGAACCTCATCTAATTCTCGCCGTAGTTTCCTCTCCAGTGTGACTAGGCTCGTCTTAAAGTAGAAGCGATAGGATTTTTGAATCCCCCCGATGCGTGCCATAAGGCGTTTCTTACGCTGGAAAATGTTCCCAAATGTAGAAGAATTCCATTCCCGTACCTCCTCACCAAATCTGGTTGCCGCGGCCAAATAATCAGTACCCTCCTTCCACATCGACCCCACAACACGCGGGAAGTCTTCGTGTAACAGCCACGCGGCTAAGAAGCGACATGGTTTTACCCCGCCTCTATTAGAAGTGTGATACTTGGACTGTAGCAAGATAGGAGAGTGGTCCGACTGGATGCGTGGTAGGTAAAGGGCCCGACCCTCCGAATACCGGTCCAGCCACTCTAGGTTAACAATGAAACGGTCAAGCTTTTCGGCAATTGATCCTCGGCACCAAGTAAAGCAGTTATCCCCAGCATTTAGTTCGAATAGGCTATGAGTAAAAATCCAGTTCTGGAAGTCAGAGCTGATGTTATAACTCGAGGATGAACCTCCCATCTTCTCGGAAGGCCGGAGAAGGCAGTTAAAGTCACCTCCGATAACCCACGGGCCTCGGGTTTGTCGCGCTAGCTCATCTAGCGAATTCCATAACAAGCGACGTCGGCCTGGATTTGGTGAGGCGTAGACAAAAGTAGCTGCACATTCTTCCTTGTCTGTACGCACGCGCCTAGTATACTTAAGTGACGTTCAATTTTTGGGAACATTTGGGTGTAAATTGGGTTAAAGGTATTGTAGCAATTACGCACAACAAATCCCAAGATATATCAAATAATGTAATGTATGCCTATAATAGTCCTTTAGGACGGGATTTATAATATCAAGCTACAGTTTTGTTGTGGAGTCATTGGGTGGCTCGACTTATGGAGCCATCTATACTTATTCACCAATAGTGTATTGACACATGTCCCACAATAAATACAATTCAGACAGGTGTCAATACATTAAGTGGTGGATGGCTCCATAAAAAACTCATCCGATGGCTCCATAGAATTTTTGTATCAAGCTAAGGAAACAACTCAGAGATTCAAACTACATCGTACAATCCATTTTGGTTTATGTATCCTTGTAACCCTGGTAGCAAACATGCCATTAAGGTAAAGATAGTTTGGAATTTTTGTTGACTTCTTCTTCAATTTATTCTTTTTTTGGAAAAGTAATGATATTATAAGCATCATTTAACAATATTAAGATTATATTCTAATATATTTGGCTCAATCTTAATATTTTTTAAGACCGGCATGGTTAAAAGTATATTAATCAAAAGGATTTAGGTTATCACAATTATTAATATTTTGTAGAAAATCTTATAGGAATGTTTGATTAAAAGTATATAGATT